AGACACAGACTCCGAATCAGGCTCCAGGCTCTGAGCTGGCAGTCAGCACAGAGCCCGACGCGGGGCTCGAACCCACGAACCGCGAGATCATGACCTAAGCGAAAGTCGGACGCTTAACCGACTAAGCCACCCAGGTGCCCCGACAGTGTGTATTTCTAATGTTCAAGGTTTTGCCAGCCCAGAAATTCAGTGGCATATGTAACAAAGGATTAAGAGCTATCATTAAAGCAAGATAGAAAAGCACTCTTGTTTTAGAGCAGCATGGTTGTATTTCTTACTGCATTTCACGCAATTTCATGGTGTTCCAAACTTTTCTCCTCCATGTTGAAGACGTGGGGTTTCTTTTAACCCGTTATTAACGAAAACGATTTGTTTCTGTTTCATCTGCCGCCCTCTGATGTCTCCAATTCTGGGAAGACATTATCCAAGTACCACTGAAATGATCTGCAACCCAATCGTTCCCTTAATTCAACACGCTCGCTAATGTTTCCATAGGCAACAAATTTCAGATCAGGTCTTCTTAAAAAAAACTGCTCCTAAATGGAAATGGAGAGTAATTTCATTAAACCAAACAAATTGTTGGCAATCAAATCATATCTAACACAGCAGTATATATTTTTATCACCTGAACTAAAAACAAAACAAAACAAAAAACAAAACCCAAAGAACAAGACATCTTCCAATTTCATCCCTACAGGGAGGACAGAGACACGTGTGGAACCTGGGATTCACTCACTCTGCACATATTTGCAGGATGTGTGGCGAAGAACCGCGACACAGAGGGGGTGTCAAGGGATCCAGGAAGGTTGGGTCCTGCTTCTTAGGAACCCCCAAATCACAGCCACCTATTGTGGTATATCCCCTTTCCCTTACTCTCTCAGTATTCAAGGAAAACTCTCATTCCCTGGTCCCAATCAACCCTTCAGTGGTTTCAGAAATGGGAGATGGTATAGTGGCTTAGGGCAAATGGACTGTGGGGGGAGACAGGCTGGGTTCCAGTCCTCTCTCTGTCATTTATCACGTTACCTTTGCCCCTACCCTCATGAGGCAGTTGCGAGGACTGGACACTTTAATACGCATGGAGCACTGGGTAAACAAAGGCTGGCACCTACTGTCATGTCGGCATTGGCCATTATTATCGCACCTGGTTGGTCTTCTATACGCTCTGGATTTAAGATAGTACTAAGTACGAATGTCTAATGGGTTCAATCTGCCCTATATTCAAAGAGATATTCTAAAGAGACCAAAGCTTTCTTGAAAGCAGACTCTTGTATTTTCATCTGTGTTTCCTAGTGCCCAGAATACAGTAGAGTGATAGTCTTGAACAAGAGAAGGAACTTGCTTGTCCAAGTTAGTGTATTATAGGCGTGCCATGTTGGGCTCGGCCTGGGGATCCCTTGACCACTGTCTCTGCCATCATGTCTTGCCCCTTCTAGTTCCCAGAGCACGTTGGCTCATGAGATGGACCTGAGGGTGGTGAGGGGGGTTGTCATTTGGGAGCAAAGGCAGGGAAGAGCTTAGGCAACATTTTGTGAGAAGCCCTCTCTTGTCTCACGTCACTCACTAAATTTCCCAGTGTGCAGGGTCATAGAATCCGTTGATTTATGCCAAGCATTATACGTTTTTTAAGTTAGATGGACCCTTTTGTCACTATATCCTCTGTGAAACTCATTAAACTACTGAGTCCTAGCTGTGTTCAAGTCAACTGTTCAAATCTGCGGCTAGAGTTCACAGGAAAAAAAAATCAATAAACATAAAAATAAGCTCAAGATCTCTCATAAATAAATGCAATTGAAGGGGCACTTGGGTGTCTCGGTCGGCTGAGCGTCTGACTTCAACTCAGGTCAAGATATCCCAGTTCTTGGGTTTGAGCCCCTTGTTGGGCTCTGTGCTGACAGCTCAGAGGCTGGAGCCTGCTTCAGATTCTGTGTCTCCCTCGCTCTCTGCCCCTCCCCCACAGGGGTGTGTGTGTGTGTGTGTGTGTGTGTGTGTGTGTGTGTGTGTGAGCGCGCTCTCTCTCAAAAATAAACATTAAAAAAGTTTTATAAATGCAATTTAAAAATAATGAGACATCATTTTTAGCTCATCAGATTAAAAGAAACATAAAGCTTAATTAAAACCAGGGCTGGAAACGCTTTGGAGAGACCGGTATTTTCACATACATTTGGTGACAGTGATTGACAGTTTGGATATTATTCATCAGGATATAAAATGTGCCCTCTCTTGGCCCAGCAAGTCCATGTTTTGAGATTTATTCCAGAGATATATCTGCACAAATGTAGAAAAAGATAGCGTAAAGCTGGGGCGCCTGGGTGGCTTAGTCGGTTAAGCGTCCGACTTTCTCTTGGGTCATGATCTCGCGGTTCTTGGGTTCGAGCCCCGCGTCGGGCTCTGTGCTGACTGCCAGCTCAGAGCCTGGAGCCTGTTTCAGTCTGTGACTCCCTTTCTCTCTGACCCTCCCCTGCTCACGCTGTCTCTCTCTCTCTCTCTCTCTCCTAGAAATAAATAAAACATTAAAAAAAAGATAACGTAAAGGATGCTCATTTCAGCAATGTTAAGGGTTTTTAAAAAGGCGAGATATTCAGAATGCTTATCACTGGGGGGGGGCAGCTATTTATTAATGGGATCAATTTTAGGAGATCCTTTCAAAGGAAATATTTAAGAGAATGATATGTTCATACGTTTGGATTTTATGAGACTGATATGTTACCTACTGCACTAATGAGACACCTTCGGATTTTAAAAGACTTTGAAAGTATGTTTTCAAAATATACTAACAAGTGGAAAACAGAACAAAATAGTGTGTGACTGTAGTTAGATAAAAAGATTTACACTTGAGTGTGTTAACAAGAAACTGAATTTTCGTGATTACTACATTTAGTGACTTAGAGGTTGCTAATTTAAGGATTACTTCTTAGAGCTGTAACAATGAACTTAGAAAGCTTTTCACTTAATGTTCTTTCCATACTGTATGACTTTTAAACATGAGTATGTTTTACCTTTTTACAAATAATTTTTTAAAAACAAGGAGATATATTTCCTGCAAAAATTGCATGAAGTACAAATGTGCAATTTAATGAGTTGTTGAAAAATCAACCCCAGGAATGCTGACTAGGTCAAGAAATGGAACATAAGCGCCATCCCAGAAGCTCCCTGCCTTTCTCTTCCTAAGTGTGTCCTTTCCCCTGGGTTTGCTGTTGTTGTTATTTACTTAAAATTTTTTTTAAACTTTTTTTTTTATTTTTGAGAGACAGAACACGAGTAGGGGAGGGGCAGAGAGAGAGAGACACACACACAGAATCTGAAGCAGGCTCCAGGCTCTGAGCTGTCAGCACAGCTTAATCCACTGAGCCATCCACAGGCACCTCTCTGCTGGTTTTAAATGCTATCTTGATTAGGAGCACCTGGGTGACTTGGTTGGTTAAGTGTCTGACTCTTGATTTCGGCTCAGGTCACGATCTCAGGGTGTGTGAGACTGAGCCCTGCATTGGGCTCTATGCTAACAGAGCAAAGCTTGCTTGGGATTCTCTCTCTCTCTCTCTCTCTCTCTCAAAATAAATAAATAAACTTAAAAAAAATTAGGGGCACTTGGATGGCCCAGTCAGTTAAGCATCCAACTTTGGCTCAGGTCATGATCTTGCAGTTTGTGAATTCGAGCCTCATGTTGGAGTCTGTGCTGACAACTCAGAGCCTGAAGCCTGCTTCAGATTCTGTGTTTCCCTCTCTCTCTCTCTCTCTGCCCCTCCCCTGCTTGTGCTCTGTCTCTCTTTCTCTCTCTCAAAAATAAATAAACATTAAAAACCTTTGAATGCTATCATGGTTATGTATTCATGTCTTTGCTTTTCTTTTTAGCTTTGCTATCTAATTATGAATACATAAATTATATGGCTTAATTTTACTCATTTTAACTTATATAAATGGAATACAATCAGTATATATTCTATTGTGTTTGGCTGCTTTTTCCCCCATTATGTCTTTTTTTTTTTTTTTTTTTAGGTAAGCCTCATGCCCATTGCACTGTGTGCACTCCAGTGCAAGGCTCGAACTCATGACTATAAGATGGAGACCTGAGTCACGATCAAGAATCAGATGCTTTACCAAGTCACTCAGGCATCCCTGCAGTATGTCTTCAGCTTTACTGTACCGTTGTATGTGTGTCTACAGTTGGTTAATTTTCATGGCTGTATAGAGTTATATCAGCTAAATATAACACATGTATCCATTCTGCTCTTAATGAACATCTGGGTTGTACTTTGGGCTAACAGCAGCCGTGCTGTTTATAAACATTCTTGTTTGTGTCTTCCGGTTGCCCCAGAGCTTGCCTTTCTGTGGCGTGTACACGGACCGGAATTGCTGGACATGGGCTACTCATGATCTTTACTTAACTTTGCCAAACTGTTTTCTGAACTGAGTTTGTAATAATTAATACTCTCACCAGCAGTGTGTGAGAATTCCTGAATTCCTGTGTTTGCCAGTACTTGGTCCTATCAGACTTTAAACATTTTTGCCAAAGTGGCTATGTAGATATACCTCATTGGGGTTGAAAAGAAAGAGTATTATTACTTTTATAATTTAAAATAATAAAGAAATATTAGACTAAGACCTATAATATAGCACATATAATATCACAGAAAGATTCTTCCATATTTCTCCCCATATCTCTGAAATGAGGTCTTGTGGGGGTTACTGCCGTCTATGTTTGTGCATGGGTCCTGGAGGGACACCTTTCAGGTTCAAATGGGGCCACGGCTACGTGTTCTCTGTATGTGCACCCTTTTAGGTCCTGGCTAGGGGCTGAAGCCTTGGGGAGATGCATAGATGAAGGGGTGTGGCTTTGATAGAGAAATTGACTGTCGGTAGGAGAGAAGCAGTGAAGGTTCTCACATTTTCCCCAGATCACAGTAGCTGCACACTTGGGAACTTGGTAATGGAGGAAGAGAATCTAAAGAATTGCCTGTGGGGATGGGAACAGGGGGAGATGTTTGCTTCAGAGGGGGCGATCCCTGGGGGGGCAGGGCAGGAGGTAAATCAATCAGGGCCAAAAGAACAGAACAAACTTCCTGTGTCGATTAATTTACGTCTGAGAAATTTGAGTTTCCCTAGAAACTGAATGAAAAGTAGCGTTCATGTGTAGTGGGTTCGAATGAGCTAATTGAGAATAGGGTCTGGGGAAGGTGGATGAGCGGTTGAAGGTGTGCCGCTAATTTAAGGACACTTGTTATCTGGAAAGGCGGGATAGGTTCCCTTATGCCAAGCTCCGTTCTGTGTTCTTGCTCGTCTTTACAAATCAGAGACATTTCCCTCACCTTTTATTCATCCAGCCAAACGTGCACCAATCTGAGACTGTTATATGTCATGGCTTTTGTAAGCTCAGGTTGATTAGGAGGGCGATGCTTACTGACATGTCCCACCCGCGAGCAGGGGAGTATGAAGAGTTGCCCTCCGCACATCCAGATCTAGACAAAAACAGAAAACATTAATGTATGTTTGCTGGTACGAGGCAACTGCTATTTTTTTTTTTACAAACATAGCAATAGCTAACATTTCTTAAATTGTTTATTTAATCCTAACAGTCCTATAACATAGGTCCTATGATTATCCCCATTTTACGGATAAAGAAATGAATACAAACGTTGGTAAAGAAGTTTGTCAAGGGACACAGAGCAGCATTTAAGTTCAGGAAGTCTGGCCTCCGAGCCAGCACTCCAAATACTAAGTGATTTTGTCTCCTTCATATATGATCAATTCTGATGGTGCTTAGGTAGAAAAGTGGCAGGCTATTTTTGTCCTAATTCTCAAAGGTATTCTGAGAATAATTAAGTATCGCTGGATGTCAGCAGGTAAGAAGAGAAATACTGATCATGGCTAAATTTGATGATTCATGTTTTCTGTTCTTAACACACTTTATGACATTTAATTTTTAAACCTTTATTATTTTTGAGAGAGAGAGAGAGAGAGAGAGAGAGGAGGGGGCAGGAACAGAGAGAAAGGGAAACATAGAATCCTAAGCAGCTCCAAACTCTGAGCCATCAGCACAGAGCCCGACGCAAGGCTCGAACTCACAAACCCTGAGATCATGACCTGAGTTCATGGCTTGAACCCATGAACTGTGAGATCGTGACCTGAGCCGGATTCCAGAATCGGATGCTTAACCGACTGAGCCACTCAGGCGCTCCTTTAACACTTATTTTTAACAAACTTTTTACTACACAAAAGTAAAATGTGACCATTGAAAAATCAGCAAATGTAGAAAAGCACACGGAAAAAAATAAAAGTCACTTCTCATACTAACACTTTGTAGGTTGCTGTTTCTCCAGGTCCTGTGTTCTCACACACATATACACAACATTGAGATAGCTTGTGGCTTTTTTATTTAAAGGTATGTGAAGTTATGGGGCGCCTGCATGGCTCAGTCAGTTAAGTGCCCGACTTCAGCTCAGGTCAAGATCTCGCGGTTCACGAGTGCGTGAACCCTGCGTCGGGCTCTGTGCCGACAGCTCAGAGCCTGGTGCCTGCTTCAGATTCCGTGTCTCCTTCTCTCTCTGCCCCTCCCCTGCTCACAGTCTGTCTCTCTCAAAAACAAACAAACAAACAAACATAAATAAATAAGTTATGTGAAGTTATGGGGCACCTGGGTGGCTCAGTTGGTTAAGCATCCGATTCTGGAATCCGGCTCAGGTCACAATCTCACAGTGCATGGGTTCAAGCCCCACATCAGGTCCTGCAACATCAGTGTGGAGCCTGCTCAGGATTCTCTCTCTCTTTCTCTGCCCCTCCCTTTCTCTCTCTCATAAATAAACATTAAAAAAAGGTTGTTATATGAAGTTATTTTAAAAGTGTTGTATTGTCTGGATATTTGGGTAGTTTCCAATCCTTAATATTATATAAAACACAAAGAACGTGCCTATAGTATAAATCTGGCGCACACCATTTACATATCTCACAGTATATTTGCCATGACTTCCTTGTTTACTCTAATTCAGAGATCCTTCCAGGGTTGCAAACTAGAAGCATCCTATCGCTCAGGAGCTTCAAAATGCAAAAGACTTGGGCCCACCCAACCCTAATGAACCACAAACCGTGGGGCTGGGCCCAGTAATTTGCATTTTAACCTGATCTTCAAGTGATTTTGATCACATTAAAATGAGAACCACTGTTCTGATTGATCAAGATCATGCACCCCAGTTTTATAGACACTGTTTTGTAAAATTCATCTAATCATTTGGGAAGTAGTAATAGGAAAAAAGGCTTTCACTGAACAAAACACTCACAATATTGCTTACAAGAGCAATGCTTAGGGTGAAGTATATCACTCAGGTAGTTAGTTAGAAGGGATTATGTTTAAGAAAAAGAAAGTTCTGACGTAAATGAGACCTAAGGATCTGTGCAACCCACCTCTAGAGTTCTTCAGAAATAGCACCTCAGAATGTCAAGAAAAATATCTATGGAATTCCTTCCCCTTAGAAAAACCCTTAGATCAGAATTCCGAAGAATTACATTCTTTTATCAGATCTGTCACATGCTTATGATCAGATATATCCTCTCCGGATCTCGTTTTCATGTGAAGCTGAGAACTATAGAGTTGCTCATTTAAGCTACTGTTTGGGGATGCTTTGTTTGGGGGCTTTGTTATACAGCCAAAGCTAACTGCTACTGGCTATAATGTCTTATTCTTTTTTTTTTTTTAAGTGAGAACTTAATGAAATGTGGAAAATCATGAATATCTGTTTAATAATTAGACTGGAGACAGCATTGTTGATTATTTTTGGTATATTTTTACATGTTTGAAGTGTTTCTTTTTTAAAAAAAATTTTTAATATTTATTTTTGAGAGAGAAACAGAGAGAGAGTATGAGCAGGGGAGGGGGAGAGAGAGAGAGAGAGAGAGAGAGAGAGAGAGAGAGAATCCAAAGCAGGCTCCAGGCTCTGAGCCTGACGTCAGCACAGAGGTCGACAGGGGGCTTGAACCCCTGAATCGCGAGATCACGCCCTGAGTCGAAGTCGAACACTTAACCGACTCAGCCACGCAGGCTCCCCAAAATGTTTCTTAATTGGAAAAGAAATCTGGCCATGAGTACAGAATAGAAACTAAAAGTAACATGATAAAAGAGGTACAAAAGTAAGAATTTTATCAAAGGCTTTTTCGAAAATCAAATTGAAGGAAGCTATAGCAATTTCGCCTAATCTTCATAGGGCTCAGGTGTTTGTTCTTTTATTCTTGATTTATTCACAAGAAGGGCATGATCTATCTGGACGTGACTCTTGCTGTACTTATTGTCCATGTAGGTGACGCTCAGCTTTCTTCCCCAGATATTCTGCTCGAAGTCCATCCAGCTCGCAGTTTCTAGCAGTAGTAGTAGTTGTTGTTGCTGTGGTAGTAATAGTAACAGCAGCAGCACCCCACTGAGAATTAGGCTAACACAGTGGGTAGAAGCATAGACTCTGGGGCCAGCAAGTGGGGTCTGAGTCCTCCATTAGTTCTAGAAACTAGGCAAATCACTGCACTTACTCAACACATCTGTGCCTCAGTTTCCTGGTCTGTAAAATTAGAATAACAGTACCCACACCATGGGGTTGTTACGAGCATTAAATAACTTGATACTTGTTAAGTGTTTAGAGTTTTGATTTTTAGTGTTTTTTTTTTTTTTTTAATTTAAACTTTAGTTAACGCACAGTGCAATATTGGTTTCAGGAGCAGAATTCAGTGATTCGTCACTTACATCCAACACCCAGTGTTCACCACAAGTGCCCTTCTCAGTACCCATCACCCATCAACCCCATGTCCCACCCACCTCCCTCCATCAACCCACAGTTTGTTCTCGATCATTAAGAGTCTCTTGTGATTTGTTTCCCTCTCTTCTCTGTCCCCCCTTCCCCATATGTTCATGTTTTGTTTCTTAAATTCCACATGAAAGACATCATATGGTTTTGTCTTTCTCTGATTGACTTATTTTGCTTAGCATAATACATTCTAGCTCCATCCATGTCATTGCAAATGATTCCATTCTTTTTGCTGGCCGAGTAATATTCCATTGTATATGTATACCACATCTTCTTTACCCATTCATCAGTCGATGGACATTAGGGCTCTTTCCATAGTTTAGCTATTGTTGATAGTGCTGCTATAAACATTGGGGTGCATGTACCCCTTCAAATCTGTATTTTTGACATCGCTGGTGGTATTTTGGTGGGTATTGCATTAAATGTGTAGATTGCTTACTACAGGCATTTTATAGAACAGTGCTTGTTCTTCCCATCCATGAGCATGGAATGCTTTTCCATTTATTTGTGTCTTCTTCAATTTCTTTCATAAGTGTTCTATGGTTTTCACAGTATAGATCTTTTATCTCTTTAGTTAGGCTTATTCCTGGGTCTTTTATGGTTTCTGGTGCAATTGCAAATGGGATCTATTCCTTGATTTCTTTTTTCTGCTGCTTCCTTATTGGTGTATAGAAATGCAACAGATTTCTGCACATTGATTTAATATCCTGACACTTAGCTAAATTCGTGTATTAGTTCTAGAAATTTTTTGGTGGAGTCTTTTGGGTTTTCTACAGAGAGTACCATGTTGTCTGCAAATAGTGAAGGTCTGACTTCTTCCTTGATGATTTGGATGCCTTTTATTTCTTTTTGTTGTCTGATTGCTGAGGCTAAGACTTAACTGTATTGTCTTAAATAGTAATAGTGAAAGTGGACATCCTTGTTTTGTTCTTGACCATAGGGGATAGGCTCTGTTTTTCCCCATTGAGGATGATATTAGCTGTGGGTCTTTCATATATGGCCTTTATGATGTTGAGGTATGTTCCCTCTGTCCCTATTTTGTTGAGGATTTTTATCAAGACTGGAGGCCGTTATTTTGTCAAATGATTTGTCTGTATCTATCAACAGATCACATAGCTCTTATCCTTTTTTTTTTTTTACTGTTTATTTTTGAAAGAGAGGGAGGGAGACAGAGGGAGGTAGCATGAGTGGGGGAGGTGCAGAGAGAGAGGGAGACACAGAAACCGAAGCAGCTCCAGACTCCGAGCTGTCAGCACAGAGCCCGATGCAGGTCTCAAACTCACACACTGTGAAATCATGACCTGAGCCAAAGCTGGACGCTCAACCAATCGAGCCACCCAGGTGCCCCTCCTTGCTTTTATTAATGTGGTGTATCATGTTGATTGATTTGTGAATATTGAACCAGCCCTCACTCCGGGAATAAACCCCACTTGATCATGGTGAATAATCATTTTAATGTACTGTTGCATTCAATTTGGTAATATTGTTGAGAATTTTTGCATCCATGTTCATCAGGGATATTGGCCCGTAATGCTCCTTTTTCGTGGGGTCTTTGTCTGGTTTTGGAGTCAAGGCAACGCTGCCTTCACAGAATGAGTTTTGAAGTTTTCCTTCCATTTCTTTTTTTTGAAATAGTTTGAGAATAGGTATTAACTCTTCTTTAAATGTTTGGTAGA